GATTTTGCTTATGCCTTATCTCGTTTTTAGAAACTTTTTGTGTCTTTGCACTCCTCAGATGTACTGCCTGGTTATTTGGTTTCAGCGCGCTGTATGGTGCAAAATACTCTTGCATCAGGTACACTCATGCCAAGAGCGATTTCAGTTATAAAACATAAGTTTGTTGCAGAATACTTCCCTCTTTCGTGCACAGTTACTGATGGGTCAGAAAAGAAAGAAACCACTGGTTGCCTCAGAGATCATTTTGGTGACGATGTCAAAGTAGGTGTTGTCAGTTTCTATCTCTGTATCTATTTTTTCCCCGTATAGCATTGTAATAGATTTATAGGATATCGTAGATCATGGTATCCATGGTTGTCGAAATGTTTACAAAATGATCATGGTGCCTGGAGCAGCTGAGTGGTGGATAGAAGAATTTAGCCGAAGGCACACCACAGCGCTCTGCAGAGGGGATGAAGGTACATAAATCTTTTTGGAACTTTTTCTTTTTTTGTACTGCGTTCACAATAATCACAAAGCCAGGAAACTGTTCTTTTCTTCCTCAAATTTTCTTTCAATACAAAATTTCATAGCGATTTTATTGTCAAAACAACTATAAAAACTTGTTGGAGCCAAACAAACATGACCAAAACTTCTCTCTATGCCAGATGCAGTCAAAGTAAACTTTTCCATTCGTTTCGCCTTTCTTTTTTGACACAAAAGCCAATCTTACTGGTTGCGCTTCCCATGTTCATGTTGGGCGTTTTCGAGATGTGACTACATATGAACTATCATTTTCAGATTCAATGGATACCAGTTCCAGCTTACCTGTTCCTACAAAAATTCCAGAGTTTATTGCCAAGGTATAGACTGATTCTTCTTATATACTATTATACGAAATGTGGTGAAATTTGACTTTCGAAGTTTTTAGCTTTTGGGAATCGGTATTGAGTGGCCATTTTAGATTTTTGATAATGGGACTCCTGAGCTAAAACCCAACACCGTCGTTGACGTTTATGGCTACTTATCCGCACCTGTGCAAGAAGAAAATGACGGGTTTGTTTCTTTCAAGTTTCTTGGAAGTTTGGAAGACAACATTTTTTCTTCTTCAGCCAAAGAGAAACAGCAGCCCCAAAGCATTTCAATCTGCATGTTTTACGCGTAGTAGGAGTCAGTCATGTTCCAGAACTATTTCCGGAGATAGCGAGTATGTCATCTAACTTCTCATTTTTTTGTGGTTAAAGGGTCGAAAGAGTTATTTTTTCAGCTTCTAATCCTGCTTCTCTGCGTACCGACCTCGTTAAGGAAATTTCCTCTGTGCTTGGTAGCTGTGCAGCTGCAGACACTTTTGTTAACTTTTTAGTATCCACTACGTGAGTTTTTCATCTTATTGTTTTAACTGCTTAGATATATGTAGATTTCATTTATTTTTGAAGATATTCCCGGCCTGGAGGCACGCCGCTCTGCTTCTTACCTCTTAATCTAGCTGGGGTTGAAGATGCGTCATCTGTTGAGTATATTGTTGATATGGTGCGACATCTTATGCCAAAGGTGAGACTTATCAAAAAAAAATGAGGTTTCTGTCTCTACATTTCGTTATCTCATTTTTCCTTGCCTAACTATTCATTCATTATCTTAGGTGAAGCTGCTAACGCTTACTCCTGATTTACTGTGCAAGAAGCGCTTTGCTCCCGTGAAAAACTATGATGCTGATGAGCTTCTACAAGGAGAATTGCAGCTTAGCGATGGTACCGTTCTCATTATTGACGAAACCAGTCTTCCCAGAGCTTCATTTCCCGTAAATGGTTTTGGTGGGCTCATTTTTCCATTTTTAACTCTTTTCTTTCTCCCTCTGTTCTTGCTGCAAAAATTCTTCAACTATTATTT